CTGAAACTGCATGAGGGGAGGGTACTCAAACAGTGCAGATTTCTAAGTGCTGGTGCTCACTGTAGTTCCGGCTAATTCAGTGAGTTCTTCTGTTGTTTTTACCCCATGAAGCTCTGGGTTTGTAACCACCCAAGATACTTAGCAGAGTTTTGTCAGTTCTACAAATCTAGCTCATGGTCTGAGAATGCCATAAAATTACACAAGGGCATCCATTCCAGCCCAGGGCAAGACTGATTTCCTTTAAATACTCATATGATCCCAGAGTGCAGATAGTTGTTATCAGGGTAAATGGCTAAGATAAAAAGCTCAGAGTGGAAGGTTATACTTGGACCACACATCTGTGTTGGTTTTTTCCCTCAAATGGTAGTTTGCCATGCTTAAAGCCTCTACCTGCTCTCATGTCTGGTCCTCCTGCAGTTTAAGAGCCGCAAAGAGGACAGGGAGCGTGAGCGCAAAGGGTCAATTCCTTTCCACCATACCGGGAAGAAGCGGCAACGAAGGATAGGGGTGCCCTTTCTTCTCCATGAGGATCATTTGGATGTCTCGCCCACTCGCAGCACTTTCTCCTTTGGCAGTTTCTCTGGAATCGGAGAGGACCGGCGTGGCATCGAGAGAGGAGGATGGCAAACTGCCATATTAGGTGAGATGTTATCTCTGCCCCAGTTTCTGTGTCATTCCTGTTGTGAACGTTCAGAGAACAAGAGGCTCTTTATTTCTTCATCCATCCTATTGCCACCTTATGTCCTTGGCTCTATTTGCAGCATTACACACCTGTTTGTAGAAGTGGCAACTGTGCTGACAGCAGACCTTGAGTGACACATGCTTTAGTTTGCTTTTTCTCTCAAAAATACCATCTTACTGGAATAATATCTACTGTAGGAACCTGTCGTGATGTCTGTACCACTTGAGTGTACTTTCCCTAAGTGGCAGCAAGCATTGCACAACTGCAGCTTAAAATGGATTCAAGGCGTGGTTGCATCCTCCTGTTTTAAAGAGACATCTCTGGGGAGGCAGAAATATGGTCACTAGATGTATGGCAAAAAATACAGTGTTCCTCAAGTGAATGTTGGATACAAGATAAATAGGGTATGGCCTCAGATAGTGAGGCTGACACTCTCTTGATACTCCAAAGATACAGTGTTTACATCTAAATATTGACTCCATCAAGCTTTCAAGTTCACTGAACAGTGTCTAGACATTGCTTCTGTTTCACAAACTTACTCCTAATGTCATAGATTTTCATCCTGGCATCCTTTCTTGGAGATGACATGCAGCAAAATGATTGCTTAAGGCCATGCCAGAGCGTTCTCATTTTCACCATCTTAGATGGCATAATTTTGGTAAGCTCTCTATTGTAAACATGTCCCTCTTTGGGACACAGGACAATAAGCTTAGCCAAATGAATTTGTAAAGATTCATATGTGTTTTCTCAATGGTTAATATACAGACACCTACAGGTTTCTACAAGAATAACAAACTTGGTATGTAAATCCTCCTTGTCATATCTTCAGTATCTCAAGAAGTTTGTTAAACTTTGATCTCAGGGGCTTCCGATTCTTGTCCTGGCTTAACCTACAGTTCTCTTTCTCATATCTAAGTGAAATCATGTATTTCAGATCCAGTGCTCAACAGGTCCTTCCCTACTTCAGAGACAGTACCCCTCTTTCAGGAGGTTCCTTTGATTTGTATTTTATTGTATTCCTGGAGAACTTTTGCTTTAGCACTCCTAATACACCTATTTCTTTTGGACAAGGGGAGAAGAAAACCAATTCCTATAACCTGCCCCAAAGAGTGGAGTCTTTAATTGCTGACCAGTCATTTTGCTGAAGCTGCTGGTGGGTGATAATGTGAGTGTCAGCTAAATCAGTATGTGCTGAGGGGAAGAGCCTTGCAGAGAGTTTGTACATTCGGTCTTTGTGTCATCAATGAACCCCCCGGGAGATATCCCACTGTAATGTTTGGTTCTGCTTCACAGGGTCCTGGAAGGCCTTGACTTTTGTGGAATGCTTCCGTTTCTGACCTCATCTACTATCTCTTGCGTCCAAGCACGTCTCATCTGAGTAAACCACCGATTTCTTGTCTTCACCCCAGGAAAGTTTACCAGACGGGGGAGCTCTGACACAGCAACGGAGATGGAGAGCCTGAGCGCCCGGCATTCACACTCTCATCACACTCTGGTCTCTGATCTGCCAGACCACTCAAACAGCCATGGAGAGAACACAGTCAAAGAAGGTAAATTTAATACATCAGGAAAGAAACGTTTCACTGAAATATCAACTCCAAGAAGCTGAGGAAGTGTCATTGTTTCCATG